ACTCTGGTCATACCTTGATCCTCGTGAGAAGGTTGGTCTTCAGTGCTGGATGGAGGGGACAATTGACACAGCACAAGATAAAGGTGACGATGACCTGTCTCTTCGCTGGCCCATATCAACATTCTCTGACTGGAGTCTCCGTGACTTGTCCACCAATACAGCAGATTATGAACCTAAATATATTTCTATATTAGCTACAATATTTGTCATTTCTGATTAAAATTAAGACATTAAAAAAAGCATACATGAGAAAGTTTAATTGCAGAATATAATTTTTCAAAGGAATTCAAAACTACATTTTTTATTTTCTGTAACTCCCAGAGCTTCTGGAATACTCTACATAGATGAGAATACACCTGTAGGCCAGTCCTTACTCCATAAAATCCACTCCACAAACATGGTGATGCCAAGAAACACAAAGCTTCAAACTAAACAAAATTAGCCAGGGCATTTTTAACAATATTGAATTCCTAACAATTTAAAGCCAACCTATCCCCCAAAACTGTCACAAGGAAAAAATGATCAAATAATGCTCAATCTAGAAATTATAAGATACAGTATAGCTATACCATATATGCTATACCTAAATATAGCTACACTATATTTAACCTTTGGAGCTTCAGCAGGAATATCAAGTGTGTCTTAAGGTTTCATTACAAAAGCACAACTTTGTTATACAGGGGAGGCTTACAGGAAGCAAGAGATTTACAATGGAGAGGTTACTGCCCAAAGTCTTTAAATTAAAACAAGAGGACATAAATAGTTAATTAAGATACACGAGTTGCAAATAATAATTTAGTTTATATTTCTCAAAGTAACTTCCAGGCACAGAATCTTCAACTGTGAGAAACTTTCAAATCATGGAAATCTCACTTGACACTTTAGCGTTCCGGTCCCTCGCCGCGCGCCCAACTGTAAACGTTCCGGACCTCTCGGGGCCCCTCTCGGCGACGCCTAAAATGTTTACACAGCATTCTTTTTATGTTTACAATGTTATTTTTTTGGATTATAACTATACATTAGTACACAAATGAATGCACTATAGTATAGATGCAATAGGAAAGGTACAGTATATTGATAAATTGTGTGACTACACTGAATAAACAAATTCTAATAAAAAAAAAAGTTGAAATGTTACCAAATGAAAAATTAAAAGAAAAAATATGGAAGTGTGTGCAAATGATTGATTTATATAGCTATACAAATAAACTAAATACCCAATACTTTTCCATTATGTAATTTCTAAAGCAGAGAAAATACACGAGAGCTGAGCAATTATATAATGTTATGGGTTGGTTGGTTGAAGTGATCCAAGGCTGGTCCCCCGATAACCTCTGCCCACACTGTACTCGTGTGTTTCAAGAGTCTCATCAGGGTATTGATGACGAGTTTTAGCACCACCAGAACGCTAAAGTGTCAAGAACGAAACTTCCTTGACCTACAAGTTTACCTAATATTTCATAGTACTGTACAGGATGAGGCGGTACACTATAAACATGCACAAAATCTTCTGGCCGTCAATTTATTATCGAGATGTTCCAGTACATTATAAAGATTCCTGAAATCGGGCAAAACTGAATTACCAGGATGACGACAACAATGCTCTAATGCCTACCAAAAATTTATCAAAGCAATTATTTTTATATTTGAATAAAATATACTGTAGCATACTAATAATATTTATCAAAAATTAAAAAAATAAGCATTTGTGTGCCCAGAGAAATTACATTAACATGGTGAATCAATGAGAAAATCAGTCTCATTGATTTGTTGCAATCTTTTGGATTTGATTGCAACCATGTCGCAATCCTTTTGACCATGTCATGGCCTAGTAGCCTAAGGTGTTTGTTTGGGAGTACCCATAGGATAGGTTCGAATCGTAGTCACTGCTACCGATTTTCTCACGAGCATTTGAGTACTATACACTGTACTGTACTTTATATATGGACCTTTTTTTTGTCATACACTGTTACTTCATAAGGCAAGATCCCAACAACTCGTGGCTAGGATCTCGCAGTCAGGTATTAGCAGCACACTCTACCAGAGCATTTCACGGTTGGGTCGTGGTGACATTTTGCACCAAAGCATTTCACGGTTGGGTCGTGGCGACACTCTGCACCAAAGCATTTCACAGTTGGGTCGTGGCGACATTCTGCACCAAAGCATTTCACAGTTGGGTCGTGGTGACATTCTGCACCAAAGCCTCTCACAGCTGGGTAAGAAGCCACCTGGTGGCAATCTGCTGATACTAGATGTGCGTGGCCTGCTGGGTTGCCTGTTTTCTCTACTTTTTTGTTATTCTATGCCAATTAATTTTGGTTTGCCTTTCTGGTGATTTTTTCCTTTGTTTAGTTATCTTGGAGATACTGTTCTCATATATATGTATATATGTGCAGAAAAACCACATGTGAAAAACAGAATGCTAAAGATAGAGAATAATAATCTAAAATAAACGCTATTCTCTAAAATAGAGAATAGCATTCTCAATTTTCACATGTGGTTTTTCTCCATACTTGGATCAGTGTTTTTGTGATCATTGTTGCATGTACTGTATATATGTATATACATCTATACACATATATATGTATTATGTAGAAGTGATGATTAGGCGACCTGGTATACATCATTAGAACCATACACAGTAGTTATGAAAACCGTATATGAACATAATCAGTATACATATTTAATTATAATAGAATTTTATACAAAGATTATTACTGCATTGGCATAGCAATATCCGACAATAACCTCACGTGCACAGTAAGGAATCGTGAAAAAGCAAGCAGGATTTGTTCCAAGTGTCAAGGTAAACTCCACTACATCCATACAGATCTATTATATCCCTATTATCATCAGTCATGTAAAACCCAAACAATAGTTTAAATTAATATACGATCACTGCATTACCCCCTGCATCAACGAATGACAATAACTGCACTTTAACCCTTGGACAATGGCCATGGAGAAATGGTCATACCCACCAATGCATATAAAATTTAAAATATATTTTTTCATTATAGAATTATTAATTTGTATGTAAAATATTTAAAGTCCCCATGGCGTAGCGGTAAGACGCTTGCCTGGCGTTTCGAGAGCGCTTTGGCCTGGGTTCGAATCCTGGCTAGCGAGGATTTATCGAGGCACCAATCCTTAACTGTAGCCTCTGTTTACTCAACAGTAAAATGGGTACCTAGTTGTTAAATGATTTGGTGTCGTATTCCTGGGAACATAGGATTAAGGACTTGCCTGAAATGCTATGCATGCTAGAGGCTGTACAAGAATGCAAGAACTCTTGTATATACAGTATGTATATATAAATAAATAAATAAAAAGAAAAAACACAAAAATAAGTGAATATTTATTGTTTAACTTGGCGGAGGTGCTCTGCAAAGCTGCGTCTGGAACTTGTCAACATCTGGTGCTCGACTTTGCTGACGCTTCCTGTTTTATCCTCTGATGTTTCAATGAATGTTTTATCCCTCGTTTTCTTTGTGGATGTAAATAAAGTGCTATTATATCCATATTTGCACCATGCATGTAAAACCAAAAGGCAATAATTGTTTAAATTGTCATTTGACTGACCGCATTACCCTAGTAACATTCACAATAATAACCCCATTCATAACCATGAAATGGTTGCAGGAATTTTTTCATGGGCCAAGGTAAACTTCCTTACATCCACAAAACTATTATATCCATATTTGCATCATACATGTAAAAACACAAACAATACTTTTTTAAAAAGTGTTTTATGATAATCGCTTTACCAAGGCCGATATATATCGATAGACGATAATAGCCACCTAACGATTAAATGTTAAGGATTAAGCTTTGATCTTTTGAGCAATTTTCACTGAACCATTACCACCAGTTTTCTGGTGGTAATGGTTCCACCAGAAAATCAGTAAGCTTGGATTATTTCCAAGCTTGCTAACTTTTCTCAATCTACTTGTTTTTTCCCCTCCCCTCCATGCTAAGATACCTCTTCATCCTGTTTATCTTGAGGTTATTTTGAGATGATTTCGGGGCTTTTTTAGTGTCCCCGCGGCCCGGTCCTCGACCAGGCCTCCACCCCCAGGAAGCAGCCCGTGACAGCTGACTAACACCCAGGTACCTATTTTACTGCTAGGTAACAGGGGCATAGGGTGAAAGAAACTCTGCCCATTGTTTCTCGCCCGGGACCACAGGATCACAAGTCCAGCGTGCTGCCCGCTCAGCCGACCGGCTCCCCATAGCCTGACAACTTCTGCTAGCAGACATTTTCATCTAATAACAAGGGAAAAAAAATGGCTAAAAATCTCTTCCCGTCTCTCTTGACCTGGGAGTGGTGGTGCAGGTAGTGGGGAATGTAAACTTTAGAGACGGTAGCCGAGATTTGACCGACATTCCTTGTGGTTTTCCATTAGCTCTTGGTGGGGTGGACTTTAATTCTGCACTTTTCATAGCAAACATTTGTGTTGATCGTTAACTAATCTTAATCTCCCCTGTCTTCAGACTAACTGGAAGGTCAAGATGATTAAAAAGAAAGGAACTTGTCCTTGTGAGGCACAGGTTGAAAGAACCCAACAAACTTTCCAGTGTACTTAGTAAGATATAGATTTGTGACTCTGGGAACAACTGCATTCAGACCATCACTTTTTGCATTTTAACACATTATTTACTAGTTATATTTGTACCGAAGAAATTATTTTTTTTTTTTCAGCGTATCATTCGAACTCCAGACATCAAATCCTAATTACTGTCACTGGCCTATTTTGTATTAGAATGCTTCAGAATGACCCATGCAGATATGACTTGGCATTAATATAACACATGAGAATGTACAACATACTACAAAGATTAGAATGTGTAACATGGTACAAAGGTTAGAATGTAAAGTACTGTAATTATCAAAAGAAGGCACCAAGCCAAGAAGGCTACGTAGCACCATCAAATGTGTGGAATAATCATAGGGCGCTAAATATCACCAAGGATGCCAATACGAGAACAAAAGCATAAGGCAAACGATATCGAAGGTATCCGATTCACTAAGAATTCTATCGAGGGACAAGTGACTGGAAGGGACGGTCGGGAAGCAAGACTCACGTTAATCCTGGAAGTCAGGACATTCAACAAGGATATGCAAGGTTAGAATGTATAACAGTACAAAGGTTAAAACTTGAATAAAGGTGACAAAATGATAGGCTTGTACAACAAATACGACAGAGTAATCACACTAACGTGATGTGTCAAACGAGAAAATCCATAGGAGCAGTGATGAGGTTTTAACCTAAATGAGCATGTCATGGCCTAGTTGACTAGGGCGAGTAACGAGGGAACACTCACTGCATAGGTTCAAACCCTCGTCGCAGCTCCTATGGATTTTCTCAAATACGATAGTGGTACATTTTTTTTGCCACCAGATCGTGAACCTGCCAAAGCACACACACTCATTCATCATATTTCTAGTGTCGTATCATTACTGAATTAATCTGCACAAATGTATCATAGCAAATATTATAGCAAATATTATTGCTTTGATTACTTGGCAAAAACATATGAATAAATATGGACAAGGTTTAAAGTACATGAACTTTCTCAGCTATATGCCACAATGGTACAGCCTAAATGATTATCTTATGACCAAGTCTTGTAACTTACTTTTAAAAAATAGCAATAATTTGTATTTTAATGGGTAAATATACACATAAATAAATAATGTTGAACCAGAATCGTTTACAGCTCTTATTCTTGCTCCATCCTGAGGTGTTGCAAATGACACATCTCCCTGATGGTAATGAAGACAAATCCATACCCTAAAATCCTAAATATTTAATTACCAGAGAGGGAAAGGCAGTACAATTACTTTTAACATACAAAGCTTACATTAACAACCACAAGCAAATAATTTATACTTTTGAATAATAAAATATGCAGCCTTTTTTTTTTGTTATAATGCCTAATAAATTACTGAAAGACCCATGCTTACATCTATCCATGTATTCGAGTGCTCGGAAACTATCACATGAGGGGAGAGAAGTGGTGGTGATGGAGCAGATGGTGCGGCTGGACTCTTCTGGCCAGTGAATGATGACAAAGACAGTAAAATCAGTTCAAGCCGCTGCTGTCGTCTGTCAAGGAGTTGACACCAAATCCTGCCATCATGAAGATAATATGTAAGCCATTGACACTTGTAAATTCCAATTAAATGTTTTTTTATATAAAATTTCTCAAATTACATTTTTGGGGAGGGGGGGTGTCCATCTAACCAATGTTTAGTATTTAACCCTTTTGCTGCAATTGTTGATAACAGCCAATAAAAGAAAATTGTTTATTCCCTGGGTTAATCGACTTTTCCAAATGCCAGAAGTTTCCAAATCGAAAACTGTTCAACCACAAGACTCAATCTGTCAACTATGGAATCAAATCTCATCTTCAGCAGTAGTACCAAACACACCATAAATGCCTTCTCCCTCCCACACACATTCATTTTCTACAAATTTGTCTACACAATAAGCGAATGTTACAATTGCTTATATGCCATGATGTGTGTAAAGGCAATATATTACAGTATACAGTGGGATCTTGCTAGAACAAACTTCATTATAACAAATTTCTGTAAAATCTGCATAGTCTAATCTAATAAATGTCTCATTATAACAATCTCTTCAGTCACAAGAATTTGCATGTTGAAGCTACAACTATTCACCCGACATGGCCGTTGTGACACCTCTGTTAATTATAATCAAACCGAAACAATTAGTTACAATTTTCAAACTTATAATATGCCAAACTCTGATATGTATTGTATTAAAACAATACCAGTATTTAAAGCAATCCACAAGATGGCCAAAATTGATATATGGTTCAATGGTGCCTCAGTTAACGAATTTAATCGATTAGGGCACCGAGTTCGTCATGTGAAACGCCAATCTTGCTAAATAACAACAACCTGTCCTCGGAGGCGTCTGAGAACTAGCGGGAACACTAGGAAGCACCATGTGGTTTTCTCGTTAACCGAGCAGAAGCTAGTCAATCTAGAAGTTTTCTGCGAGTGACTCGCTCGTTACCCGAAATGCTCGTAGAAGGGGCTGCTCGTCACCCGAGGTTTCTCTATTTTAGTTTAGGCCTTCAAAAAACAGAGGCTAGCGAGTAAACGGGTACAGGTCAGGCGGCGGGAGAAGAGTTGTTGGGTGCAGAGGGGCAGGTACATGGTGCAAGTATGGACAACGTGAAGATTTACAATACTGTTAAAAGACCGACTAAGGCAATTGTATATTTAACATTTTTGTCCAGAAATGTGCGCCAATAATTGCTCTATCTCATGGATTCGAAGTTAACAATAAATTGTTTTTAGGGGAACTTCATATGCCCGAGGTGCAGCATTAGTCAGGATGGTACTTTTATGCTCCTAATTATGCTTCAGGTGGTGGATAGCTCCCTCTTTATATTGTTTTCTCCTGGTAAACTACCTATCAAACTGATGCTACATTATGTTGCCTTTTTAATACTGTATAGGAAAAATATAAATTTTACTCCATTAAAAAATTATTAAAAATTATATTTTTATATAGATTCATTATAATAATGCATATAAAATCCTATGAAAAGCTTGAAATTGAAAGTGCTGCAGCAAAAGGGTTAAATGTAAACAAATAAATTTATATAATTTGTCAAGTTCTTACAGGCCTGAAAATTATTAGCTATAATTGATATCACACTCATCTTTGCTATAAATATAATAAAAGTACTAACTGTGTGCCATCAGGAACCCAGCCAACACGAACTAAGTACTCATGCCAAGGAGCTAGCTGTTTGAGGTCATGACGCAAGTGTCGAGTCGTCACCCTTAACTCTTCCGCTGGACCTACTTCAACCTCTAGCAACCTTAATGTAGATTCTGCATTAGACATACCCGCTCGAGGAAATCTGAAACATTACCAAATAACAAATCAGTTTATGAACCTAAACTTATTTAATCATGAAATTTGAAGAGAAAAATAAAGATACAATTTCATGGCCAGAGTTAAAGCTTCTTCACTGTAGTACAAAAAGTACAGAACATTTTTCCTAAGCAGAGGCTGTCATGGAGAACGCTGGTGACTGGACTAATGCCATTATATAGCACTCTCCCTAACACATGCTTCTCTTTCAATACACACGTGTATTGAAATTGATGCCATCACCACGATATCATGGTGATAGGACACGACGAGCGTAGCTCTCCATCCCGTAACTACACTTGGGTAATTACACCTGGGTAATTACACTATTTGTCAGCAATCTTGTCAATTTTCATCATAAAATCAAGAAGGCAACAAGTGTACAAATTAAATTAACTGGCTCTTCATGTACACAACACAGCAGGGTTCCCTCTCTATTATTTACACATACGTTTTTGTAAACCTAAAAAAATTATATCATGCAGCCACTTGGTAATCTTACTCACAGTATTCAAGCAATGAAAACCCCATCACCACTGAAATAAAAATGGAAAGAGGTGCAATCCTAATACACCTCATTAATAACATTTCTGGCACTTCCTCCGAGCCAAACTCTTAACTTCCACTGAATACATTTCACAAATACTTTACATATTTTTCTAACATCATTAGCATTTTTAACTTTAAATGGAGAGGCGATTACCCTAGAAGCAATGGCAGGAACTTGAAAACAATAACATTCATGCACTAAATGTAACGAAACATCCCATCCTGGTAGGCCACTTTATGGCCTACCATGATGGGATATATTAAATAAATATTAAATATATAAATTGTAGGGCATATATTAAAGTATGCCCTCCAAAATCCAGACCAGATCTGAAATCACAAATATTTGATTACAGCCTTCATTACTGCAACTGCCATTTTTGGACAATTTTTCAGATGTTTTTCCTAAAGAAACTAATTTGTGTCAAAATTAATGCCAAGCCAAATTAAGTAAAATAACATTCATATGCTCCATTTTCCCACACAGTCATAGGTCATTTTAACCTGTCATATTATAGATATCTACTGTCCCATGCCCAAAACTTTCTATTGCTCAAGATTTTCTTTGATATATTATGGAGCACCATTCCAATTAATCATTAAGGAGGTTTCCTAACAATTTTAATAACATTTCTGGCACCACCTCTGAGCCAAACTGTAACTTCCACTGAATAAGAAAAGCACAATAGAATAATTTGAGCAAAAACTAAGATTGCAGAAAATCATTTCACTGTATACAGTTCAAACAATCTAGATTTCATCATGACCTTTCCAGAATTCGTATTTCCTCATACAAATCTGATTGTTGGCGAGGTAAACCGGTAGCAACAGCCATAGTACAGAATGCCAAGTCTCAGAGAACTGCACCCAGCATCCAAGACCCACCCAAGCCTACCAGGAGCCAGGAAAAAAATTTGGCTCTGAGGTAAGTGCAGCTTAGATTTCAAAGCCAAGAAAAAGCCCACCAGAAAGTATAAGTGCATTAAAACAATGAAATGCTTGAAAAAATTCATAACTTGGGACAAAAGAAGGCAAACAATCATTGCTGCATGGTGAACACCCAAGCCACAGTGCTTGAATGCCATCAGGTCCCCCAGGGTCCTTGCTACCCAACAGCTGCATTCACAAGTCACCCCCAAAAAAATTCTCACCCAACTAGAACAGAAAGGAAGGGCACTCATAACAATTGTTGTGCTCATAGGTACCAGTTGCAGTGCAATGGTCAATGCAGGTACTCACTTAGCAACTTCCAAATTTGCTGTAACATTTCAGATCATGTATATCGTATATAACCATTTGTTATTACCATACTCCTCACATTCCCAATAATCTGTGTTAAATTTGTTTTAATGGGACACACAGTACTCTACGTAGAAATACAATTTTGTATTTAAAACTAACATTCCTGTCAGTGCATTCATTCATGGATACAAACTAGGCCAGTGTCAATGCAGTGGTGTATGGCCTATGCCAGTGCCAGCTCCCAGACTCTAAACAATCCATTTCATCATTAGCAATTTTCAGAACAGAAAATCAAGAGACATTACAATTGTGGAGCTGAGTATGGTACAAATGTGGTCCCCATTCTTCATATATACTGCACCGATTGTCAGAAGTAGCTTTCAATGTAATGTTACTACCAAATAATATTGTAGAAAAATTTAACAGTAATCCTAAAAACAGTCTCCAACTTACCTAAACTCATCAAGCATGCCAGCTGAATCATCAGGAAGGATAAACTGCACGATGGGAACTTCACTTTCGTCAACTTCCTCGAACAGTAATCGGTAAACACCATCTGATAATACCAGAAATAATTAGGATAATTCCCAATCGATGCAGAATAATTTAAAGCAATTTCAGCTGCAATCATTATTAACAGTTTTCCATTCCAGGGGGGGCAGGGGGGCCAATTTTCATGTATTAATTAAGTGAATTGCAGCTGCTTACAGCTGCTTGCTCAGCAACGTGTTTAATGTCTAAATTGCATTTAATTCAGTGTGTGAACCTATGTGTAGGGTTAGCTCAATAACTTGGGTATCAAAACGTCAAGAAATAAATGTTCAAAAGTATAAGCACAAATTAAGTTGGATAAACAATGTTGGGTGTGCAAGGTACTGCTGAGTTAACAAAAGTGTATGCTCATAAATCCCTTTTTAATAGGAAAATGAGCTTAAATTAATGATTAAAAAATCAAGTAATACAGCTTATTAAATAGCTTTTGATAGGGAAGTCTATTTCATATTCAAAACCATTGATGGTTCACAGGTCAGTATGAAATAATTTGACATTCATTTTTACTGAAAACTTTATAGGCTTAAAACATTGATTTTGGTAACAAAATATTTAAAAATAAAAGGACAAGAATATTATATCAATAATGAATAGCTAGTGTTGGGTGCATCAGCAACATCCTCATAAAGAACATAAACAACAGTGTGTGAAACATTATTTTCATTTTGATGCACCCACAAGTCTTCAGAACACAAAAGTCACAAAACTAAGTTTTGAAATAACATTGAAAAAAGTCAAGGAATAAACATTTCAATGCAAAATACCAATTCATATCGATGCATGTATGATTCATTAAAGAGGCATTCTTGACTACAGTGGTTTTCCCCTCTAATGAGGTCAGCATTAAACAGCACTGGCACTAGTGCCCATTAGTTGTGCAACACTGACCAGGGTTAAGGTTGGGATAAGCTGTCATAACATGCCTGGACTATTGTGAGGCTATCTGGAGGCTAGAGTGTGCAGCAAATACAGTATTACCAAAATATATTACTAAGGTGTAATACCATTGTTTCTTACATACTATAAACAGATCCTTATGAAGAGCATCACCTTAACATTTTTAAGTGATTCTTAGAAACAAGTGATAGTAACATTTCAGTATCAGAAAGGAAACTGTTAGTCTGCTGCACCAATGGAAAGATATATCATGAGGGGCACCAATGCCTGCCGCCTCCAACCACGAGACAGCAGGAGGATGAGGTGGGAAGGAGGAACAAACGATGGAACAGAGCACGATATATGCAGAGAACTGCAATACAAGAAGGATGCAGCCAACCAGTGACATGATGGGAAAACCACCTTAATTGAAAAGCCAATGCTGCATTCAAAGGCAAACACACTAAGAGAACAAAAAAACACAAAGAAAACCTAAACGAGATGAAAAAAAGTGGCCAGGAAAAAGGCAAATTCCAGCACCTAGAAGACTGAAGGCAGAAGTGGCCTAAAAAACATTGCAAACACAGAACAGCGAACTACAGGCATACCTCAGAATAAGAGTTTAATCCGTTCCTGGAGACGCCTCGCCTTCCGAAAACTCGCATTCCGAAGTTAATTTCCCCATAAGAAATAAAGGGAAATGAATTAATCCGTTCCTGACTACCCCAAAAACCCCACATCAAACTAAATTTTTATACGTAATTTACCTAATTCATCTAAATAAACCTACAAAACTGTGTTCCAGTTATTACTTACCTTGCTGTCGAGTGCTGTAGGCGTATGGAAGATGGTGAGGAGGGGGGAGGAGGAGAGGAGTTACTGTTTGGAAGGGGAGTCCCCTTCCATAATCACATCACATAACCCCATGCCTTGTAACACTATGGATACCACTTCTCTTTCTAAATTTTTCAAACCAGCCCCTGCTTGCCTTAAACTCTTTCTTATCTGCATCACTCGTTGCAGGGGTATTCTTTAGAAGGTCTTCGTGCAGCACCCTGGCTTTCTCACAAATAATGGCCTCCGAAACACTATCACCCCTCAACTCCTTGTCGTGTATCCAAATTAATAACAACTTTTCCACTTCTTCAAGTATTTGTGGTCTTTGTGCCGTTAATGTTCTTACTCCTTTTGCCACTTTAGCACCCATAATCTTATTTTTCTTCTTAAGTATAGTGCATATTGTTGATGTGGCTTTGTTGTACTGCCTACAAAGTTCAACAACACGTGTACCGTTCTCATGCTTCCGAATGATCTCTTGTTTCTCCTCTATTGTCATCCTCACATGAGCTTTCTGGCCTTTATCCTTACCACTGGCTTTCTTGGGACCCATGGTGAGATATATAATAACAAATTGTATAGACAAATCACCAAAAATCCAACAAAACACTGAAAATCCGCGAGAAGAATTGATGTGGGGGTAGTCACTGAGCGCGAGACAATGGTAAACTGAGGGGTGGCAGGGCAGAGGGCCGACGATCGCCGAACCACCGCACGCTAGGTCGGCTGTACGCGTATCAACAAACTCGCGTCCAAACTCGCCTCCCGAAGTAACCATCACCTTCCGAGACAAATTTTTGGAGTAAATACACCTCGCCTTCCGAAAACCTCGCATACAGGGACAATCGCATTCCGAGGTACCACTGTACCAGAATGTGCATAGGCAGCACTGAAAAAACTGGATTGGAAACCAATACCCACTAGTCAGGTAAGAAAACTCTTCCAATGTCAAAGAACCTAGAACAAAAGGACTCTTCCATGGCAACTCCAAAAGCATCAACTACAGCCATAGACCCAAGCCATATCAAGACCAAAAAGGTACTCTGAAAAGACGTAGAAGCACCTTCAAAGTACTTATCTAAAGTAGCTGTTAAACTCTTCAACAAGGCATGACACTATGAATCAAAATTTTGGAGGCAAGCATAATCGTGACCGCGCCTTGAACAGAACAAGTTCTTCATGATGGTTTTAGATCTACTACATGGGGTAACAGTCACTCATTATACCACCAGACTGCAGCAGTTACCAGATTAACTCTCCAGTTCTGCAGGCAAGCTGTCTGAACAAACATTACAGGATGTAGAAACTATGATAAAACTAGTATAATACCATAAATGGCTTTTTCATGAAGCTAGTGTTACCACTAATTGTAGCCCAAGGGTTAAAAATTAAAAGCAAGATAAACATGTAGAAGACCAAAAGGATCTGTTAGCTAGCACCAAATGTTACGGAGGCTGTAAATTTAGGAAAATAAAGAAAATATGACATACCAGGAGAAACAGGTTGCCACCAGTAGCCCTGATAACGGGAAAATTCTTCCTGCATTACATATGAGGGCATCCCCGCACTCTTGGGATCGTATTCTAGTCGGCCACTACCACTATGTACATGGGTCACTCTTTTTTCCTCTCCTGCACGAAGATAAACATATTTAATGGAATTTCCATTGCAAATAAGAGTAATGATATGGTAATCTTGTTACATTGTAATATGGTAATCTTATTACATTGTAATATGGTAATCTTATGAAAGAAAATACAGCATTGCAAATATTAACATGAAAATGTTTATAACAAATCATTCATTTTATAGGATTTTATAGTACTATACTGTACAAAATTATGATTGAAAATAATGCTGTGATGTTTACAGTACAATTACACTAAACACTTCTCTTACATGGCCAAGATGGCCACACTCCCACACTTCTCATGCTGCCTCTCAGGCACGCCACCCATCCAGATATAGATCTACCATCTCTTCCCTTCATGAGCCACCTGTTCCCTCACCTGTAGTCTGTTCTCCTGAGCCAACCCTCCCCCCTCCACCACCACCTGTTCTCCTGCCCCAACCCTCCCCCCTCCACCACCACCTGTTCTCCTGCCCAAACCCTCCCCCCTCCACCACCACCTGTTCTCCTGCCCCAACCCTCCCCCCTCCACCACCACCTGTTCTCCTGCCCCAACCCTTCCCCCTCCACCACCACCTGTTCTCCTGCCCAAACCCTCCCCCCTCCACCACCACCTGTTCTCCTGCCCCAACCCTCCCCCCTCCACCACCACCTGTTCTCCTGCCCAAACCCTCCCCCCTCCACCACCACCTGTTCTCCTGCCCCAACCCTCCCCCCTCCACCACCACCTGTTCTCCTGCCCGAACCCTCCCCCCTCCACCACCACCTGTTCTCCTGCCCAAACCCTCCCCCCCCCCCACCACCACCTGTTCTCCTGCCTCAACCCTCCCCCCCCCACCACCACCTGTTCTCCTGCCCCAACCCTCCCCCACCCCCACCTGTTCTCCCCCAACCCTCCCCCACCCGTTACATCCCACGATATACATTGTTTTGTCTGGTCTCTTGGCAACTTGTCTGCCTCTCCCACAATGTTGACACCTAAATACCCTTGCTAGTGGCTATCCTAAACATTATGTCAAAAATGTTAAAATGTGGTATTTTTTCCCAATACTATAAATCAGTTGTACATCAGTGGAACAAAAGAATACTGAACTTAAAATAATATTAAATTTAAAACATAATATAGTAGGAATTACCGGTATTAAATATTCTTCGGTATGAGAAATTTACACAAACTTTTGATTTTAATAATTTGCATTAATATAGTAGTGTTAAAATACAGAATATAGGTGATAAAGCTATACATGCAGAATTAACCATAATGTTTTATCAATTATCCCCAGTGACCATTTCACTAATTTTCACATAAAAAGAGCAAGTTTTAAGAAAAAATAAATAAGTAAATAAATACCTGTTTTAGTATTATAAAGATAAATGTCGTATCGAGCTGCAAAGGCTATGAGGTTGGGGTTTGCGGGGCATATTTGAGGGTTTAGTCTGACCTGGACACTCGGCAATTCTCTTGGGCTAATGGGCCCAGTCTGAAAAGAAGTTTGCAAATTGTTAACATTATGTTATTTAAAGATTCGTAGAATACAGCATTCACAGGTAATTTAACACAGGTTTTATAATAAAGACTTAAGTTTTAGGTGCAAATGACCTACTAGACACTACAAAGCCCATTGCCAGACTCGGTACACAGCTGGCCAAGAAGCAAGTGCTGGAATCTAGTGTCAATTAAGATGAGAAGCACTCCCAAGGAGAGGAGTGATTTCCTTTTGTTGAAGTGTGAAGATCCATATTTCTAGCCAGTAGGCCTCCAAATATGGCCAGTAGTAGTAGTAGTAGTACTTGTAGTAGGCATCCTGCAGTCTCGGGAGACTAAAGAGTTGGGCTCTGGTTGTCGAGGCTGCAGTGTCCTCTCCAGGACGCAAAGCCTGGGTAGGTAGATATGAAGAGAAGCTGTTACTCATGCAGCAGGTATTTTCTCTCCACATTGCTGAAATTGTCCAATGGAAAGGCAAATGCCAACACGCTTGGTTCCAGCACCATCGCAGAAGCTGCCAGAACGAGGTCGAGGTCAACAACGAACTGCCATAGGGGCTCCAGCTCTGGAATTTTCCTCTAGGTTCCTGAAGCCCGTTCCAAAAGTGGGTACGGCCGCGAGGCAGCGGAGGTTTGAGATCAGGGATTTCCTTCCCTAGACGAGCTGCCTTCCCAGACTGTCGAGTCTGGTTGTAAGGCACCAGGGGCATGAGCTCATGCACGAGGAGGAGGAGGAGGACCTGAAGGTCTTCGTATCATACGAAGGCCCCTGGTATTATTCCCGCAGCAGGCTGGCAGCCTTGCTGAGGGCCCTGCAGAACCTCCCAGAGGAGGACTGTGAGTCTTTCGGGGATTACCACACACACACACAACAAAACTCAAATATTATAATAATATTATAATAGCAATATTATAATATTGTAATATACAGTATATAAAATAATAATATATTATAATTATATAATATATTAAAATAATAATTACAGTATAAATTATTATAATATTATAATACTAATGATATCATTTTGAGTTGAATGTTGTCTTGTATGGTTGTCCCCGGGGGACTCCCTGTCCTTACTGATCGTGGCCAGTATTACGATCAGTATGAGGTAATTAGCTGCAGGCCCAGTCATTACTAATTAACCATGGGTTGATGGCAGGGGCCCCCCCACTGTGCTGGTAGATTCTCAGTACTGATGTAGGTGAACTTTACTGTATGGCTTAGTATGCCAAGTAGTTGGCTAGGAGCAGATGTAGTTTTTTCACCAAGTCAATACAGGTACTTTTAATGTTACTCCAAGTAGAATGCAGCCTCCAAGTGCTCTCTCTCTCTCTCATAAAATTGTACCTAAACTGCTACAAAATTATTTTACACCACACACTGCAGACAAATTGACATACAATATTTGAACTAACTAAAAAATCAAAGAATATTCTTCTCTTGGTACAATGCTTCACAATCTGGCTGTATAATCTATATAGTCATATAAAGGGTTGAATCAAAGTGTATCAATGTATTTATGATGAGTAAAAGCATATATCCACACTGCCAAGGTGCTTCTGTCACGTAATCGTAGTCGTTACACTGATTTACGGTCAGGCTGAGGCCACAGAGCTCTACATCCTCGGCTCACAATCTAAGGTGACATTAGACCCTGGTCTAAGCCCTGGATGGTAGAAACAGTTAGGCACATTTCCTTTCACCTGATATCTGTTCACCTAGCAGTAAATACCGTGTATCCTTGTGTAATAGTCAATCGCTTTAAAAAATTCAAAAATTTTCCATACAACTTTTTGTCAGGGTAATCTATAATTCCCCGATTCTTTTGCATCTTTTGAGAGGATCAGAGACCAAAACCTGGGCTTATATATGACAAGGGGATGAATTGGATTAAATTGGGTGGAGCTTGCCAGGCAACAAGCACCAAGGAGCCAACATAGAAGCCTTCCCACAATATCAAATATTTTATCAACTGACCATAATATCATGCAGACTAAGTTTTCTTTCATGCATTCTCTATAATACTGTCACTATAGACATACCAGATACTGTATACATAAGCAATTTTCTACCATGTAACCTACCTTATTAATCAATGATCAATTTCTCTAATATGTTGTACTCTTCCTATCCTACAATACACTTTCTGCACCAGACTTAGTGGGCCCACTCCATATATACACTGAAGCAAGGCAACATCACACAGCCCTGACACAATATCACCCTTAGACAGAAGCAATGGGGAAATGGTCATTCCTGCCTACGCACCAAAAGTAGCAAATTAAAAATAAACATCTTAATTATAGAATTATTAATTTGTATGTAAAATGTAAGAAAAACTGAATCTTTAAAAGTAAATAAAAAGTGAATAAAAAATAAGTGAATATTTATTGTCTCAGTGGGATGGAGGTGTTCTGCAAGGCTGTGTCTGGCACTTAACACCTGGTGCTCCACTTGCCTGATGCTTCCCGTTTTATCGTCGGATGTTTTACTGATTGTTTCATCACTTGTTTTCTTTATTTACATCCACAGTGTGCTATTATATCCATATCTGCATCAAACATGTAAAGCCCAGACAATAATTGTTTAAAATCATCATATGACGTTGACCACATTCCCTTAGTAACATTCACGACGACAACCACATTCGTACCATAAAAATGGTAGCAGGATTCTTTTTATGGGGCAAGGTAAACGCCATTACATCCACACAGAACTATTATATCCATTTAAAACTTAAGACAATAATTGTTTAAACCATCATATGATAACTGCATTACCATGTGAATCAACAACTGACAAAAACTGCAGCCTAAGGGTTAATACCACATCAGTTACGCATTATACCAGGCACTACAGTACTTCCTATACTGTATAAAAAATTGTCGCAGCATTAAATGCATCGTGATTGGTTATATTTAATATGCGTAGAGGATTCATTGTGCACACAAGCCATTATGTAGAAAATAATATCAAATGCACACTTAAAATGCATTTTTACCAACGCAAAACCTACCGGCCGTTCTGCATGTACACATTGGAAAATGGTGGAGGATGCTGGGAAGACCAGAGTACCAGATGTGGGATGAAGTTCATAGTTTGTGATGCCCCAGGTGGAGATGCGTCTGCGTTCACTCAGTAACTGCTCTTCACGCGATATCCGCCGCCACAGGAAGGAATGGCCTGAATCCAACACTTCTTGATATACAATTCTGCTACCCCAAGTCTGTGAGGCAATATGGAAAGTAGTTTATTAAGCATTATGTGATTGCATATTAAAATAAACACCTAGTACAAACATGGCTATTAGAAAGGGTATAAAGGGTTAATTAAAAGGTATATAGAGCTAAATAAAGGGTATAAAGAGCTCACTAATAGTCACTGCCTTCTAGCCTATTCTCTTGTGGAAAGTTGATATTGACTGTTGATACAGTATATTGCTACACCATTCATGGATTCAGCCACAAAGACTTGCTCAGGTGAAACCGAGCCAAACATTTTTTCCAGGTTTCTTGTTAAGTAATGTGTCAGCTACTAACCACTTATGACACTTGCAATCATATTCACTATTAATGACATCAGTAATTACATTAATGACATCTCTAATTACAACTAATACATGTTCCCAACATGCCTAGAATCTCTTGGGAAAGCAAAATGTGACCAAAGTTTCCCCTTCATGCAGAATGATGATCAACTTGCCAAGTCAGGTGAAGCTTGTAATACAGGCCATCAGGAACACAGAATCGATAGTCTAACTACAAGAGTAGTTCAGTGAAAAATGTCCGGATATACTGTGGATATCCAGCACCAACAACATTCACCACCAAAGTTGTAACACTTGACAAGCCTAGTTCCATCTCACAAAATGCTATAGCCTCGCTACAGAGCAGACAGCTTATCCCAGCCACATTTGAGCTACTCATTTCACCCGACATTCGAGCTCACCAATCCTGTCTACATAGGCAGGATTGGAGCGCTTGCTTAGAGCTTGCTTGAAGGAGGGCAAGAGTGTAGAGCTCTTGCCCTCCTACAAGCTCCCTACCCACAGCCCCGTTTAAGTTCTCGGCTCCAGACTATGCACAAGCACTCATCTCGGCTATCATGACATGTCATTTCATTTCCAATATCCAACTCCTTTAACCAAGTCTATATAAAATAAAAAGCCACAATAGTCTTCGAGTGTTGTGGCTCAAAATTATATACATTACAATAATTTTTTATTTTAGTTTAGCCCATGGTTGTCCTCCCCTTTTCTCAATACAAGAGTGCAGGCTGGATACACTTCTCACAGCTGTTCTGTCACCTTCAGGTATTAGCTGCTTGGGATTGGTTGTTTCAGCTTTATCATACAACTGGCTAGTTGTATATCTTACATCTATGTTGTTCAGGTTATCATAGCTAAGTTGACACACACACCTCGAGTCTGCTAATTGTCATTTCTCAGTTTACAACCATGCAATATTATACTGGCAATATTATACACAAAATCATTTAACTTTCAACTACAGTATACAGTATATACAGAAAATAATACTCATTAACAAAACAAGATCTTAAGATAACTATTTATGAACAAATTCGCAGTAAAATAGCATTTGGCAAGGCTTCAAGCAATTTTCACTGAAATTCTCTGCTTTTAACTCCCCTTAAATTATTTAAGTGCTACTGTATTGGGCACTACATTACTATTGTAAGTGCTACTACAGGGGGGCACATGGCTGCCCCCCTGCCCCAACCTCCAGGAGCAACCACACCCCAGAGAATGCTCCTAGAGTAAATACCTAAGAGTAATTACAGGATGAGAGCTATGCTCGTGGTGTCCCATCTTCCTAGCACTCTGTCATATAACGCTTTGAAACTACAACCATGCAATTATAGATTTGAGTGATATAGATTTGATGCTGCCATTCAGATTTCATTGCTTCTTACAGCCAAAGTAAATGAATCAAATTCTATTTTTATTTTCCAGTGATTAGGGGGAACATTACATTTTAACTATTTTTTTTTTACTTTTTCTTCTCGAGCACACAAATAATGCCTCTTGAAATGCTTACACAGAGTAGGGGTTAAACTGAGAATAAATTAATTTTAATTTACTAATAATTTTCATTGTACCAAACATTGTCAGAGTAAGGTAAAGAGCCAACATGAACATTATATCAGATATAACCATCCAATCCTCAGCTCACCTTGTCGAGATTAATGTCGGCATAAAACAGCGTAGATTCTCTACCCTGACCCGGAGATAGGAGAAAATAACATCGCAACTGTGAGGGTCCAAGGCGTCGAAAGGTAACATCAGTGGGTGTCTTGACAGATAGATGGAGGAAAGTTCTCCTGAGTTCACGAACGCGTTGGTGTACTTCCCGCCAGTTGAGGGAGTTTCCTCCCGTTCCCACAGCTCCCCGCGAGACACCACCACTACCTGTGGGTATTCGTGGCATTCTTCCTCATTCAATAGTCTGCAAATATAATAAAAATTTGGTCTTAATAATAGTGGATAAACCTCACAGACTTAATAGGCGCATCCAAAAACCAGATAAGGTACGTGATTTCTTGTAACTATTACAAAAAAAAATAAAAAATTATAGTAAGGGCTTCTGTGACTTGCCACAACAAATGATTTTATAATTTTGGTAGCTACAACATTTATTGGTATCTAGTAATGCCTCTGTTCACCTAGCAGCAAGCAGGTACTTGGGAGTTAAGTCAGCTAGTTGTGGGGTTGCATCCTGGGCGGGGTCAGTAGTTGGGCCTTTAACCCTCAGTAGAAGTCTACTGTGTATGAATACAGTGACTTCCTGTACCCAGACAATGAATTAAATTAATGTGATTTCTTTATGCAATATGTAACAAAAAATAATAATAGAAAAGAATTCATAGATGAAACAACGTAAAATATATAAAGCCACTAATGTACAGAGCATTTTGGGCACAATGCAAAAATAATTTGGTAAATAAATTGGGTAAACATAATGCAAGGAAAGAGAAAACATTCCAGATGAAAAGTATTAATAAATGCAGACTAATCCTGGCCAAGTTTAACACTTTCGCGCTCTCCGCAAAGGTCACTCAGCCAACCGAATGTGCGCGCTGCGTTTTTATCGCTTAAGCGTAAAAACAAAAATGTGTATACTCTTTTTACTCTTCTGACCTTAGTTCTCATGCTACGTATTTCATTTTGGTACCAACGTGTTCGCAATAAAATTCTCTAGAAGAACATCAGTAAAAAAAGTCACGAAATGTATAGGGATACCAGCACCAAATAAATAACTACGAAGATGACTCGCCGTGAGCGCCCATCAGCAACAAAATGTTTTTACTCTTGGGATTGTAATCACCTCCACACTTATTCTACAGCGTTAATTTTGGTATCAATGGACTCGCAATGAAATTCCCAACACGGTGATATGAATATAAGCGTAGAATAATGATGCGGCCCGCCCGCAAGAGTGTGGGAAGTGGTGAAATTGTTACCCGGTATCGGTGACGGGACGACGCACGGCGCTTTGAAAGTTTATACTTATTTCACTCTCATGACATTAATTTTCTATGTACGTCATTCATTTTTGTGTCAATGTGTTCGCAATAGAATGTTCTATGTGCCCATAGGTAAAAAATATCAACAAAGCGTAAGTTAGAATAGCGCCAAATATAAAACAACGCTGGAACATATCAGTGAGCGTCAAACACACACGAAATGTTTTTACTTTTGTTATGTTTGTCAAGTTTATACTTGTTGCACACAGTTATTTTTGGTTGTATATTGATCGGAATAAAATTCCCTAAACAGACATATGCATATAATACATGATATGGGGGAAGCATTACCAGTATAAACGGCTAAAGTCACCCACCTGCAACCCGTTTGGGACAAAATACCATTTGATCGAAGTTATCCACACCTTTCATGAACTTATTGTACCATGCAGCCTAGTGGTGAGAAAGAGAGCCTCATAGCGCGCAGTTTGAAACAAACCCAAAGTAAATCGGATAAAAATTGAATTTTATACAAATATTTTAAAAGAGGACTCAACTTTATGTCCACTATGCGTTAGCGTTAGACGAAACGGGACGCGCCGGCGCGTCCAGATAGCGCGAAAGTGTTAATATAGAGATGACAAGAATCTTCATATGCAGTGCACCCTCCAAAAATCTCATCTTTTCAGACACCATCCAGCTTGGTGCTAAATTTGAATTCTGAATAATATAACTGTCTTTTATGGCTATCATCAAATTATCTTGGTTTCTCATATAGGTTGTGACATGTTTTGGCATATTTACACACAAACAACAATGATCTGTGTGAATATAAATAATTAATATGCATAAAAACAAATGCAAAACAATTTTATACTTGCTTTTTAAGTAGCAGAGGCTAGATTTGTTAACTTACGAGATAGAAATAAGCAGTTATAATGGCATGTTGTGTCATCTGTTAAAACTTCTGCAGCCACTCTGAACTGGCCATGAAGTTCTCAGTTTCCAGTGTTTATGGCATTCTTTCACACACACCAACTGCACAGAGACATTAGAAAGAATTTTTTCAGTGTCAAGGTAGTTAACAAATGGAATGCATTAAGTAGTGATGTGGTGGAGGCTGACTCCATACACAGTTTCAAATATAGATATGATGGAGCCCAATAGGCTCAGAAATCTGTAAACCAGTTGATTGACAGTTGAGAGGCGGGACCAAAGAGCCAGAGCTCAACCAGCGCAAACAACTAGGTGAGTACAACTAGGCGAGTACCAACAGACAGCAAAATGTCAGTAACTGTCACCATCATATAAAATCTCTTACTTACGTTTCTGCCTGAAACGCTAGCGTGCTAGTGGCTGTACAAGAATGTAAAACTTCAAGTCTCTATACCCTAATAAACCCAATGTACCTTCTTGTATATAAATAAATAAAATAAATAAATAAAAAGTTATAATGGTTTTGTCACTACTCTTACAACAGCTATTCTCCCTTTAACTCTCAAATACCATGATTTGTTTCTGTGTGTTACATAAAAACCAATATTAGTACAAATGACACATTCCTCTGCTAGCAGGCTGCCTTCCCACCCCTGATCATGTTTCTCTAATACCTTTGCCTTCTTATCTATGGTAAGAGAAATGAGTACAAGTCAAACCCCGTTCTCACACAAGAAAACCACATATGTAGTCACTATGTATTCCCTCACACCAACTATATTTTTATTTTATACATACACGAGTTCATACATTCTTGTACAGCCACTAGTACGTATAGCGTTTCAGTCAGGTCCTGAATCCTAATTTTCCCTGGAATACGACCCGCCAAATCGATTAACAACCAGGTACCCATTCACTGCTGGGTGAACAGAGGATACCATTAAGGATTGGTGCCCAGTCAATCCTCCCCGGCCAGGATACCAACCCAGGCCAAAGCACTCGCAAAGAGCCGGCCGAGTGCTTTACCACCGCGCCAATGGAACTGCAATGGATCCTACTGAATTTTGTTCTCAAACATTTGTACACTTTATAGAACAATTCAAGCTTATCAAAACCTTTCTAAAATATAAAAGCCATATTTCATACAACACAAACAAAGCAGCACGATGGCAAAAACAAAAAAGATACAACTTTATGGAATTTTTTTTTTTTACCCAATGGACCAACCATCCGGCTTCCACCAAATCCACTTCAGAATCCGTATTTGCTCCCAACTAATCTAAATTTTGTAGGGAAGATCTGGTAGGCAAACGTATAGTACCGCCACACACAGGTTCACATTTGAGGGTGCACTTACACTTAAACACACACTTATACATACACACACACACACACACACACACAAAGATGATCCTAACACGCAAGAACTTTTAGACATTAGTTAAGTGTAGAGGATAAAAATGTGTGACAAGAGAGATTTGTGAAGTCTATAACCTAACCCCAATGCTTTACAATAATCTACACACACATATATACATACAAAAATAATCAATACCTGGTCCAAGAGTTCTTAACATTTTTAAGGTAAAAAAAAAAAAGTTATCTACAGGTAAACTAAATAAAAAAAAACTATAAAAGTTGACCAGGCCACACACTAGAAGGTGAAGGGACGACGACGTTTTGGTCCGTCTTGGACCAAATAATCGACTTGAGAATGGTCCAGGACGGACCGAAATGTCGTCGTCCCTTCACCTTCTAGTGTGTGGTCTGGTCAACATACTTTAGCCACGTTATTGTGACTCATCGCCTGCAACTATAAAAGTAACACTGGCTCCAGTGACCGAAGTAAACTTATCCAGCGAGGTCTTGGTGAAGGAGCGTATCGAGGCTCACGCGCATACTAGTTTACCCTAGTAAACTAGTTTACACTAGTGTGTGTGCCAGTTCCGAGAGTCACTTCTAGGGAAACAATCATCAGGGCAAATGGTGAGAGGAGGCGGCATTTGACAAGCCGCTGGCTACCTGTCCTCGTCGAACCCACTAGTGTGTTAGTGGCTCTCTGGTAAATCCAGATAAATTCAGACCGATCCCTAATGAGGTTGAACTACAATACATCAGTAAAAGTAAACTTTAAAGTGTCTTAAGGTAAACTCAAAAGACATTGCATTCCAGAATTTTGTTTATACAACTCAAAAGTAATACTGGTCCAAGCAAGCTGGTTTATCTATACAACTTTATACAACAAGCAACTCGTCGAATAAGACAAAAGATCCCCAAAAGTTTATAATGTAAACTGAGAAAGAGAGAGAGAGAGAGAGGTTAGTTTACAGCACAAGTAATGAAGCAGTAAGCGGCAGGGGTTATACCCCGCGGCGCCGCTGGGGCTCACCTCAGGTGGTGGAGGTCATGTTGGAGGTGTGGGTGAGGGCGGGAGAGGCGTGGTAGGGAGGGCAGAGACCAGCCAGGAGGTGGTAGTGGTGGTGAAAATCGTCTGTCTCACCCACCGCCGGCCACGACCACCAGGCTCCTCCTCCTCCACCACCAGCGCCATCTCTTGACAAAACATGTCCCCAAAACACACCAACAACAACGCTAAAAACCCCCCTTTTTGACCCCTTTCTAACCCCTTACGACAAATAAAACTATTTTTCCCATCTTCCGTAACACCTCATAATTATTAATATATCCCCTGCAACAATTATACAATGTGTTTAAAATTATTTGGTTCAGGTGTGAATGTTGGAGTGACAGCGACAGGTGCGGGAGGTCATGGGATTTTTGTCTTTGCGTTAGAGTGTTATATGGTTCGTAATCGTGTAATTTGAACTTGTTCTGGCTTCTCCCAGTCATTTACCGGGATTTACCTTTTAAGTCGCTAACTCTCGAAATACAAGTGGTGCAGCAGAATAGCATCAGGCATTATATGTGTTTTATTGGTGTTTTATACGTTCCTGGGATTCTCATAATAAAATGTACAAGAATGTAAGAATTCCTGTATTTTGTGTTTTCTGTATCCTTTATCTCCTGTATCTGTTTTTGTATCTGTTTTGTATCTTACAAATTGTTGACAGAGGACAATGTTGTAGTCACCACCTAAATTGATGTGATTTTTGTTGAGTTTGTTACTTATGATTACATTTCCTCATTGAGAATGCAGTTGTACTGGTACAATTCGGAAATCTATAAATAGCGCCAGTAGTTTTAGGGGATATAAAATTTTGATTTAGGATTGAACAAAAGTATATTCATAATACTGTAGTCATCTCTATTACTGATTTAACTTGTGCAATAAAAGTTATCTGGCCTGCAGAAAAGTACTGGAGCAAGCACAGTACCATGGGGGACTGAGCTTTTCATGGACGATAGGGATTTTACTTTACTATTACTTTTTTTTAGTTAATTAATATCTTCTTATTATAGATAGATAGATAAATCTATCTTCCTTATTTGCCAGTAATTCTTTTAGAGCACTTTTTGTGTGCGATAACACTATGGTCACATTTTTCGAAAGCTGTCACAAAATTTGTGTATATTACATCGGCATTTTGTCTTTGATGGAATCTAAGCCCATCAATAATGATCTAGCAATTGTGAGAGGCAGGAGGGCCCCCTGTTCTGAACCCATGTTGTCCAGGGTTATACATATTGACACCATGATTCCATGAATTTTATAATCTTACTCCTCAGTACTCTTTTCAAAGATTTTTAATGTGTGATTATTGGTCTATAAAATGCCAATATTTCTTAACCACAACACTGTACACCTGGTTTCGGCAAAACTTCATAGTGCAATTGTTAAAAGACATTTTTGTGTTTTCATAAATGTTCAGATAAAGTTAATGTCAAAATGTTTCCAAACTCAACCATTTTCATTTCAAAACACAAAGACCGATGAAAACATTAAAAAACATTAAAATATAGCCAAAAAAAAAAAGCACAAGTCTCCAAGTGCATTAGGGCACTCTGCGCAGTACAGTGGTTAAAGCATGGCAGAGTCTGACTCCGACTAACCTATGACACTCACATAATCCACAAGTATCAAGAGAGAAAGTTGGGTGGCATGAGCCCAAGCATCTGGCCACCTATTTCTTCTCCAAGATAGAATTTTAAAAAGGAAAATATATACACAAAACTATACAATATCTTTATGCTATTTATTTAGTAACAGAAATATCACACAGTAAAAAAAATAACTTCCACGTATTATACACATCATTCATTTTACATAACTGTTGGTAATTAATTTGTTACAGTAATAAGTATAGCAAGGTTTCTTCATACAGTATAAGGATAATAATAAAATTATGCAAGAAAACATTACTCTTCACCAAGTCAGTGAGATGCTAAATACATGCATTACTAAATTGGATATAAAATCCTCTTTTTGTTCAGTAACTGGCATATGAATTATACTTGAAAAACCTCTACTAAATAACAATAATGCAATATCAACATTATCATTAATTATATGACTAATTTCCTAAAAAGCCTATCAAAATATTATTGGTTGTAGAAATGCAAAACCATAATTCATACTTTGTACATCTGACAAAATTAAATGGGTAATAAAGACTTGACATTAAAAGGAGAAGCATATTAAAACATACTTTATACATACATACAAATGAACTTTTTCAGAATGGAACTGGAGCAATCTATAGTTTGTCTTTAGATTTACAATACTAGAGGAAAAATGTATATCTTATAAAAAATTAACTCGATCAATATACAGTACAGTATTTACAATTAATGAAAAAATGGGCATACAAGTACAAGTATTATCCCCAAGCTTGTGTCTTGCAGTAGTGTAGGACCAGCTTGCCATCAGACCCGAAGCACTCGTATAAGTTCCTGATGATGTGGTCAGGCGCCGGTGCAAAGCTTTGGTTTACGTACACAAACTATTCAGGAAGCAGAAAATGATTCATAATTATACACTGTATAATCTTAATATTCTTCAGGTTATTTAACTTTATTCATCCTTTTTATACTTGGAAAAGCAATCTATAGTTTGTTACTATTGTTAGTCGTGATTCTCAGCCTTATTACCTTGGCAGAACCCCCCCCAAAACATTTTTCTATATACCTAGAATCCTTCCTTAACCTGGAAGGGTTCCTAAGTACTGAATATCCTAGGAACTAGGATATTCAGAAGTCCTAGAGTTCTCCAAAGAAATCCTAGAGTTCTCCAAAAAATATTTAGCATATAGAAAACAAAATTTCATTACAAATATATTTATTTATTTTGTAATAAATTTTTTTCAGTTTGCTAAATATATTTTGAGGAATTTCAGGGTTTCAGAGAACCCTGGCTGAAAAGAAGTGCTAGAATATAGGTATCGAGATAAACAATTATTATATGTGAAAATCAGGAGTGCCGTTAATTTGTTTCAATACATATAACACCACAAAACTAATTCACTTCTATCCCATTTACTCTAGTACCATATCCTGGCTTCAGTCTTTCTTATTTCATCACAATACCTGGTACAAAAATATATCACTGGAAACCCCCTTATGTAGGAAAGGTATATCAAAAAAGTTAAAGAATAAGATTTGAATGAACAGCTTCCAAGCTCCTTGTGATCTTCTTAAACAAAAACAAGAATTTCAAATGAATAATTAAATTACAATAAATACAAATACAGGTAATGGGATATTTATAGATATGAATAATTATTATGTGGAGTGAATGATGTTACATTAGGTTGACATTGGTTGGCAATGCAGTACAGTATTACACTTTTTTCTTACAATGAGGTCTCGGTAGTACAGTTTTGTTCATTCTTAACTCATACTTGGGAATCTTGGGTTTGAACCACAGGTGGGACAGAAATGGTTGGCAAGTTTCTTATCACCTAATGCCTCTGTTCACCTAGCAGTAAATAAATACCCTAGGAGTTAGTTAGCTTGTTGTGGCATTGCATCCTGGGGAGGGTAAGTAGTTAAAGCTTGAGACCTCCATACAAGCTTAAAGTATATATTCACAGGCTGCCTGTCCCTGACAAAATTAATTAATGCTTGATGCCAATTTGCCATCCTTTGTAACTGGGAAATAAGTTAATTGACTGACAGAAACACAAGAGAAAATAATGTTTTATTTGAAGCTATACACTATAATTAAAAGATCATAAAAAGTATCTAAGTAATTCTGTTAGCTAAATGGCAAGAAGTAATGATACATTACAAAATACTGTACTCTACTCTTTAAAGGAGGTTTTGAGTAAAATTTTGGACGAGCAACTTACCAAAGTGTCGGAGGGCTCCATCTTGAGGTATTTACGAATAAACTCTGCAACCCATCCTACTGGTTTTTCTCCTTCTACCGCCCATTTTTTCTTCTTCATGATTGGAGCATCACCAGTTGCTTTTAACAATACATCAACTGTAATTTTTTATTAGAAAATTAATATGATGAATTTTGTGGACATAGCATATTACATTAAATACAATTTTGATGTCATACTACATCCTATACTGTATTATACTCCTCTCTCACTCAAAACAAATTTACAATCATTAACTAAACAATTTCACCCAATTTTTTTTAACTAAGATAGAGTTCATTATTGTTGTCAACTGAAGTACCTAGTGAAACTGCAAGCAAGAGCTCTTATCCTGCCTCAGCTCATCTGAAGCCTGCCCTTAGATATTATTTTTTAGGAATGATCTTTACTTATTTTATTTAGCTTTAAAATACTGAACAATTTGAAAGATGTTGATCTGGACAATTTCTTTAAAAGGTCAGATGTAACACATCAAGTCACAATGGTCTCAAACTCAACTAATTAATCAAAGTCACAATGTAGGACTGAGAACAGGATATGCTTTTTCACCCACAGGGTTATACACCCAGTCCCCGTGGCATAGTGGAAAAGCACTCGCCTCGCAAGCCCTTTGGCCTGGGTTCATATCCTGGGAGGGGAGGATTGACCGGGTGCCAATCGTTTTTGCCCGAAACACTGTGTGTATTAGTGGCTTTAGGCATAGCATATACTAGATCTACCTAGAAATCGAACATTCTGTTTGTAACTTATTTTGTATGTATGTACTTTACCTGAATAAACATTATTATTATTATTATTATTATTATTATTATATTATTTCGGATTTCTCCCCAAAATACATCCCCATTGATTGCTCTTTAATGCAGTAGAAATATAATATATTAAAATATTTTAAACATTTTGTTTGGGTGCCTAATACTTCCGGAATCTGGAATTTCTTTGCGTAATTCTCCCGGGAGTTAAAGGAACAAAATTAGTTAAACTTGAGAAAGAAAGAGCTTCTCGAGCATGACCTGTGGAACAACATTAACATGGTTGTATTTCAACTAATACATCCTACACACTCTTCTTGCTGGGTGTAGCTTTGGTGTCGTGGTGGGTGTCGTGGTGGGTGTCGTCGTGATCGGACTCCTGCTTCGTACTCTTGTCGTCCTCCATTGTTTGTTGACACTGACGAGCGGTTCTTATAGGGACCCCAGTCTGGCGGCTCTGGCCGCAGAGATTATAAATATAATACTACTACAACTACTATTTATAATAATAATAATAATTGATTTAAATTTTTTTATTACATATGATATGGATTACCTTGATTTTATGTGGTTATATTTGTTATAATTAATCATACTTAGCGTCTCGGCAAATTTTTTAGGTAAAAAAGTAATTAGGTAATTATTGACAAGCCGCCATCGTAGGTAATTTTGACAAGCCGCCGGCCTCCTGTCCCCGTCGAGGTCACTAGCGAGATAGTGGCCCCCTCAGGTAAATTCTGGTAAATACTTTATACACTCATATTGAAGGGTGGGGCACAACTAATTGCTTAGCAAATTATTTAGCCAATAACACAGCCAAGTTCTCTGTGCTTGTAGACATCAAAGAAGCTTTTAATAAGGCACAAGGGATTGTAGTCCCGGACGAGCTCGTAGTATGCATGGGTGTCAAGGGTAGACTCCTGAAATGGACTGAACATTACCTTATAGGAAGGAAAGCCAGTTACCTTCGACGTAGCAGTTTCAAACACAAATAAATTGAGCTTGGAACCCCTCAAGGAGGGGTCTTAATCCCCTTCACTATTCAACATATTAATCAATGTCATTTTAATATAGAGTTGTCAGAAGAAGTACAACAAGTAGGGTACGAAGATATCCTGATACAAGCCTCCACCCTTGTAAAGATGAAGCACTATTAAACTACTCGGAAGAAAATGTACAAAACTTGGCTTCATTGTCTCCACAAATAAGACAAAAACGTCCTTCCATCACAAGAGAAGGAAAACGAAGAACTGCAAATTAATGGTAACGTTTGTAAATGGGTTGATCTCTATTGATACCTTGCAGTTATTGTCTGCTCTAGTATTGGCACGAGAGAAAAGAGCGTGATCAACTCATTGGAACATGTAAACATCGTCTCAACGTCCTTAAATCTATATTCTAGAATGGTCATGGAGGTTCTATTGCTATACTTAAAATGATGTACACACCATATGTTCGATGTCATAAACTCTGCCGCGCCAGTGACATGCATCTACCCTCCAAATGACAAAAAAAACGTCGAAAGCATACACAATGAAGCCATGAGAATAATTCTTAGAGTATCAAAAAAATAAAAATTTAGAATCTACGTCATGAACTAAGTCTCTCTAGTATTAAAAATAGGAATACGTACTGAATAGTTATTAAAATTGTCAAGAGACCCCCACTACAATAACATTGTCAAGAGACCCTGTGTTCTGCACTAATTATAGAAGGAAAGAGAAACATATGAAAGTGTTCAGGTCGATTAGTATGCTTTCTCGAAAACTCCTCCTGCTGGAGCAAGCATGATGATGCCTGTAGGAATTTCACTTCAAAAGTCCCATATAGGATTCGTATATATGAGATACCAACGAAGAAGTCCAACATGTTACCTCAAGAAATGAGACATATATATATCTCGAGGAAATTAATAGAGAAGAAGGAAATGAATTAGCTAATAAACTGGTGAACCTGCTAATCCTATTATTGGCAGGGCTGGTGCAGCAGAGACTGTAGTGAGAAATAATGCCTGACAAAAAGAAAAATAAGAAAGTGCGCGGATTGAGAAGTACATCTCCTCGACGCAAGCAGAGTTTACTGGCATTGTAATTTATTTTATGTATTTATTGCAGTTTTATTTATTAATATTGAAGAAGATATAACTGGTTGCTAAGAGGGCACATGGTGGCGGGTAAGAAGTACAGTCTCACAAAGCCAGCAGCACGCGCAGGTCATCTTCAGAAGGACAGAGCTACTTTAGAGACAGTACAACACCGGACCACAACGGGAGACATCTCCCGTCAAGCAGGGTGCAGTCGCACCTCCACAGATCTCCAGTATCATCTATTGATACTGGTGATGGCTCAAAAGGGCCACCACTTACGGGCTATTCATGCCCGTGCCACCTTTTGGATGGCTTAATCTTCATCAATCAATCATCACCGGACCACAAATATCATTCCGACAACTCTCGCACCAGGAATGGTTGAGGCCGTGATTGCCAGCCAGGCATGACAGGGCGGATCTCGTCGAAACCTTTAAAATACTGAACAGTTTGGAGGATGTTGATCCGGACAATTTCTTCAAAAGATCAGATGTAACACAAACAAGGAGCAATGGCGTCAAGCTCAACAAGCCACAATGTTGGGCTGAAAAAGGAGTTTTTTTTTTTACACCCACAGGGTTATAAACCTATGGAACCGCCTACCCGCCGAAGCCGTAAATACCAAAACTGTTGAATTTTTAAAATCCATCTAGAAAAAAATCTTCAGGGCAAATGGGGGGGACCTTTGACAAGCCGCCGGCGTCTTGTCCTCATCGAGGCCATTAGTGTTGGTGGTCCTTAAGTAAATTCAGGTAAATGCCGCAAGGATAAAGACAGTTTACAAGTTCTCCTGATGTCAATAGTAGTCAACAATTATTGCAAAGTAATTAGTCCCCTTGAGTCCCTTTGTTATTTCTGAGGAAACTTGGGCTGATAAGGACTGCATCGGGTCACTTTCAATGGCGGGGCTGAGATCTGTTGCATTGGCATCACTCAATAATAAATGAATGTCTGTGGCCCTGAACAGACTGTAGGGATCGACTGATGAAGAATAAGCCACCCAAAAGGTGGCACGGGCATGAATAGCCCGTAAGTGGTGGCCCTTTTGAGCCATTACCAGTATCAATAGATGATACTGGAGATCTGTGGAGGTGCGACTGCACCCTGCGTGTCGGGAGATGTCTCCCGTGTGTAGGGATCCCATCCCTTTGATATTTCTAGGGATCGGACAGCCGGGGACGCATCCCATCCCTCGATCGTCCTCACCATCAACCAACAACACGTACCAACCAACAGTGCCTCTCCACTTCACATCCACTTTTAACTTGTTTATTGTACCGTAGTTGCCCTGAAATGACGTCCAGCTTCATCTTTTGGCAAACTGTCAAAATTATCTTTAAGATAGTGAGTTATAATTAAAGATAATTATCTTTAATTATCTTCAGATAGTGAGCTGAAGTGGCGTCTTGCAGGGAGGTCTTCCTGCACCACATGTGGGGCCGGAGCACCAGGGCGCTCTCACCAGCCCTTGGGCCAGGAGTAAGCCCTTACTTACCAGTAAGCCCCGTTATTCCCCCACTAGAGACGCCGCTGTTAGTGAGTTACAAATTTTATATGTACCCACACATTTTAACTGCCGGTATTTCGAGGTTGAATTGATTTCTGATTAATTATTCCATTCTTTGTTTATATGCTCGTGAGGGGCCCCAGTATACTGGAGCGGTAAGACAGTGTGATATTGTATTTGCTAGAATTGGGCTGGTGGTATCGATATCTATGGCAGGTGGCCGCAGGCACTGAATCCCCCCCCCCCCCCACCCCAGTGGTAAACATTCCAATTGTAAACTATGTGAACAAGAGCTAGGATGCTACGCACCTCTTAGTAGCACGTCGCATTTTGACGTATACTTTACCCAAGGTCAAAAACTGTCGTATTTGAAAACAGCAGCGGCTCGCGAAATTGACATAATGTTCGTTTTCTGTTCGTGGATCCTTTGGTAGGTTAGGATAACGCACTTTAGTACGATAGATTTTTGACGTTGGGAACGCTCGCGGGGAACGGGCTGAAAAATATTCACGATAAACCAAAGGATAAATAAAACTAAAATTGACAAAGTTATATAATGAAATATTTACATCAATTTACAAAAGCTGGCTTCTCGCTAGAGCAAGACTGACGGAGCCTCGCATTACTGCAAACGTTCACTTATAATCATCCACAAAAAAAAGACTTTGAAAGAATACAAATATATTATGCAGCAAGTGAAAATAAATAAGATTGTCAATGATGATGTGATAGCAATGCTTATATTGTTTTTAAGTTATAGATTAAACATACAAGAACAGCAACATGACCAATTACTCTTAGAAGTAGTTCTACTATTATTACAATAATAATAGTTACATTGGAGAACCACTGTACAAATTAACTAGCTTCATAAATTAAATTCACTGACATTAGAAGACTGGATCAAGCATCGTATTGTAATTTGCTTCACGTAGAAGCAGTTTAGATTTACCGTAAAACATCTTGGTAGGCTTCGTAGCTAACATTTGTACATTAATAATTGCCTTTACATTTGCTCATATTATGCAAATCACACCTACATTACACATTCAAGGACTAACGTTGTGATGTTCAGTAGGTCTACACTGGTATCGGACAACTCCGATAAACGAAGTTTATCGGAGTTGTAGTTTACCGGTCATTATTAAATTGTTTCCCACTTACAAAGCAAAAGTGACATCAAAACCCGGGCAGAATAATAGGTCTACACTGCTATCAAAAGGCTCCACTAGCTAAACACTCAGAAGGCCTCCAACATCGTCAGTTTATCCAACAACTCTGATTTGTTTACATTGTCGGAACTATACAACAGCCTACAACTAGGAAGTCAGTTCGCGGCTCCCAGCTCAGTTTGGAGTGATCCCACAGTGTGTAAGTTGCCTTAAGTTCCAGACAGAATAACGCTCAGATTCCGTTAAGTTTCGTACAAGCTATAAAAGTTCCTAATAATTACATACAGGATGACGCTGATATTCCTTAAGTTTTCGTACAACAAGAATTGATGTTTCTGAAAGTTCCGAGAATTGATTCAAGGTAAGAGTTAAAGTTCCTTAAAATTCAGGTCATATAAGAGTTGAGGTTTCTTAAAGTTCGGTCCATACAAGAATTAAATCTCCTTAAAATTCAGTCCAGAATGGAGTTGAGGGTAATTAACATCACTGATATTCCTTAGAATTATGCACACAGAGAATAGCATTCTGTTCACAACCGAGGCTTCCGGGATCGATTTCCGGCGAGGACGAGGCAGTTGGTTACATTTCCTTGCATCTGATGTCGCTGTTCACCTAGCAGTAAATAGTTACACGCAACTGTTGTGGAAGGTGTCCTGGGAAAGTCAGTTCCTGGCCAAGGAGGA